TCCTATTACTTCACAGGAAGGTAGATAATATTAGAGACAAGGCGTCATTGGTATACCTGGGCATATGTTAAAATGTTTAAATTATCTTCAATAATTTCCACTGTATTTTGAGATTGAGTGTAGCTTCTATCATGTTGGGCTTAAGAGTTTTGGGAGTTCGCTGAGTTCGATTCTCATCGTTGATGCAGCATGCGAATCGGATGTACACGCCGTAATATAATATATATTATGACAAGAGGAGTGTTATACCATACTAACTCACAAGACCAGCGTGTATGTGTTGTCTCACTCAGTGTAGTGGAAACTGACTCTCGAAAACCTTAATTGTCTTTTGAATAACAACGCTGAACTACTGTTACTTAGCATATAGCGACGAAAATGGACAATGTCTGACCATGAAAATACGTATTTTGGATGAAACCCAAATTGTATTCTGGCTCACAGGGCAAAGCCGTGAATCGTATTTAAGGAGACACGTATTTCGACCGTGCTGTTGTTTGGACTGTCTCTTAAAGACATATTTGTGTTCCAAGGGAAGCACTGTTAACACGGAAAGGATTACCGTCGGTGCCTACAGCCACCCAGTCCGTCTGATAGTTGAACTAGCTTCCCACCCCCCATCTCCCACCTCAGCAACCAAACACGTTACAGAACTTCCTGTCTCTGTTGCATATTGGTGAAACGTGTATGTTACGAACCAAAACGTGATGATTTCATTCTGTATAATTTTATGCGAATATGGCCAATTTCAAAAGATATTATTTCTTGTGCAAATTCCGCCACAGCGCTCAATAGCGGGTTGGAATTGAATTTTTGTATCTGGATATTTCTTACCGTCATAAGACAACATTTGAAAATGCAATTTAATAAGACGAATGGGATGTATGTCGAGTGTGGGCATGTCGTAAAATGATGAAGTCGTCACAAATGCCCACTGTTACTTATAAAGTCTCGAGTACTTCAGCAAATCGGAGCAACGATGAATGTGGCATGTCCCTAAGTCAGTTAGGTCTGCCTTCACACTTGTCACTGAACTTGCTCGGCTATACATCATTCAAGACACAGTCTACTGTCAGGGTGGAGAGGGCAGAGTCCTTGTGCTACATACTAGGGTCTGTGGTACAGTTGTGGCATGCTACTCTATCAATGTCACTTGCCAGTATCAATGGCCACGAAGACTAACGTGAAGTGGGTGTACAAGTTATACCCCGACTGTGTGTTTGCCTTTGATGTAGGATGGTTGAGTATGTGCCTGGACTAGGCTAGTCTCTGTCAGTCAGGAACACGGTCTTCCGTTTAATTAACTCTTAGTGAGCTTGTGAAAAACTAGAAAAACTACAACGTACGTTGGTCCTTGTGAAGCTTGTCTTTGTTCCGCCAGATGCGTGAGGGTATTGTGACCCTTGAGATGATTGCAGGAGGTGTGGATACCATGATGTTCTGCACGTTCACTTCTCAAGGTTAGATTATAAGTGCAGAGTTACGTGCCTTGCCTGCTAGGATCCGATAGTGGTGTGGTCGAATCCCAGGTTCGTCCCTGGATATGTCTGAAATCCTTAATTTACTAGCTCACTGGTGCCTGGTGCTCCAGTTAAATTTCATAGGGAATGCATGTCAACTTTCCATTAGTAGGTCAGCCATTAAAAACGGTGAGATAGTTCCTGAAAACAGTATTGCTTCATGTAATGTGCGATAATCTTTTCAACACAACATTGTTGGATCTGAGAGGAACGTCAGACCAATGTCTGCCATATTGACAGGATCATTGTCGAGGTGACGGTGAAGGCTGCAAGTGTAACATGCCAACAGTGGCGTAATCACTCTCATTCACTCACTCATTCACTCTCTCACACAAACACTCACTCACCACTCCATTATACATCTCCATCTCATCTTACTATACATCCAGTTGTTTAATATGGTGAAATGTTATGGGAGATGATCCAGTGCAACATAGATTCATTCATGACACTAACCCGGACCTAGCTTCATCTCATTGACTTCATCATGTCCATATTTCATTTCTTTTACTAAGCACAGAATTTGTCTCGCTCATGAGAGTAATTTGATTGGACAGTTATTTTTAGTTTGGTTTCGTTTGATTCGGGATCAGTACCAAGTAACCCCTGGGTTTTAATTATGAGATGTGTAATAAACTAGATAATATGGCGGCACTATGTCAAGACTTTTGACTTTCTTGAAATATTTATTAATTATCCCTAGCCCAGATCACCCACTCGCTAACAACTAAGAACACTAAGTGTCGTGACACACTTAGTAAGACATTTCAAATCAAATAGGTTAGGTGATTATTCAGTGAAAGACACAGACACTAATAGAGTGAGTTTAGTTTTACGCCGCTTTTAGCAATATCTCAGCAATATTGAGCGGGGGACACCAGAAATGGGCTTCACCCATTGTACCCATGTGGGGAATCGAACCCGGATCTTCGGCGTGACGAGCGAACGCTTTAACTACTAGGCTACTCAGTCACTAACAGAAACAAAGGCGTGATTTCCAAAAATCAAGAAGTTTTAATCAGTTTATATTTGTCATTGACATAAACCCTATTCGACATCCAGAATATACAAACAACGATTCCCCACTCAACCCAATGTTTCAGCGTTGTGAGAAAGGTCGCGAATGTCCCTGTCGCCATGACCAGAGTTGTCAAATAATTGCAACATACCATGCAGGGGCTACAGAGCTGTAGACAAATAGCACCGGCCGGTCACCTAGTCCCGGGACGCTCTGCAACTCCCCTGTACCTGGGAAATACTCGTCGTGTGACTTGGGGATGTCAGATCCCTCCCCGACATGCGAGATCCGGGTGGGGCTGCATGTCTCCCACAGGTCTGGGATGTGAACGTACTGAGGTCATAACAAGATGGCTCTTCAGTCATCAGGGAGTAGCCCGATTTTCTGGGTTCATTCGTCATGTTTTATATTTAACGGAGTTCTGTCACTAGTATAATGTGTTCAAGTTATCTTTATTTGTTTTAAAGCGTTATGCACCAACTGAAGTGTAGCAAAACCATCTTCAGTATTACAGATACACCCAGCTGTTTACAGGATTAATGTTACATCCCATGGTGTTTACATATAGCTAAATGTTTCAATAGCTATACAAAGTCCCATAATATACATCTTCAACTGCGAGATATTAGGATGTACAATGCTGTACTTGAACCAATACATTTCTGAAAAAATATTCTGAAATCTGGTAAATTTGTCCGGCGATGGTTCATAATCAACAAACAATCAATCAGACTCGATAACCTTACGGCGATTACGACTTATCACCACGACACGGACCTCAATAGTAAATGACCACGAGTATTCAGTGTTCAGTTGTAGTAGTGGTGGTCGTGGTATGAGTAGCTGTTGTAATCTTTGTAGCCATAACTGTAGTAGTAAGAGGATGATGATGATGATGATGATGATGATGATGATGGTGGTGGTGGTGGTGGTGATCATGATGATGATGATGATGGTGGTGGTGGTGATGATGATGATGATGGTGGTGGTGGTGGTCATGATGATGGTGGTGGTGGTGATCATGATGGTGGCGATGAAGAAGATGAAAGTGCCATGAACAGGTCGCATTTTAAGGATGTCAGGTTATCAAAATTTAAAATATCGTGTGCTGTTAATAATTTGATTAAGCGATACACGTGGGGAAAGTATGCATCCACTCATTAATTCTTACCACTTGCGACTTCCAAGGACATCTACAGAATACTGCCCATGAACATTCTTTGATCACGACCTCGATGTCGAATATTCCCTTGCTACATAAGAAGTAACCGTAATTCAAATGATCGTTTGGTGCAGAAAAATCCACCCCAGTAACACAACAAACATACTAACCACACATTGCAGCCCTTACCCTTGAAAGGTCAGCTTATCAAACTGTCTTCTCTCACATCCACACGTTTCAACAACCTCTCTTGCATATTTATGAGTCTCACAGAAGGAACGCAGATTCGCACCAGGTTGACAGTTACGTAATGACGAATAGTACAAGGGATGCGTAAGCAAGGGGGGCGGTTATGGTCTCGTCTGGGGGAAAACCTACGTAATTCTATCCAGAAACGTGTTTAAACTTCAACCGGTGTATTTGGTTTGCCGTTCGTGAGTGCAGTGGGAACATTCTCTCATAACAGGTGTCTAGTTGGTTAGTCATTGCTCAGTCCATCAGCTGTGTCAGTGAGCGTACCTGGTTAATGTGTCCCATCATAGGATTTAATGTGCGTTGCCGGTTGTTGTAGAGTTTGATGGCGATACTATTGGCTGAGTAACGATACGAGGTATGTAAGTATGTGGGTTTGTTTGTGGGAACACTGTGTGTTTTATTGGAAGTCCTGAGTGACATTTTCATTGCATGTTTTCTAGGAGCCGGGGTCGCCAAATTAATGATTTCAGTTAATGTACGCAACGATGACGTAAAACAAATATCGTGACTTATTGTTGTCAGTGTCCCTCCAGCATTTGTGTAACGGTTTCAGAGTTACTCCTTACCCCATTCGAACTAGAAGGGCAATGGTAGGTGACCATTTTCATTTTGATGTCTTCATGTGATGTGATTTCTGTATTAAGAAGCTATAGTTGATGGTATTATGAAGCCGTTACGTTCTTTTTGTGTGAACATTGGCAGAATCCATGGACTCCGAATCCATTGCATAGAATTTTGTGGCTAAGGAAGGTTTTCTTGTTTTATTTCGTCTATATTTACGTCTAAAGCACCGTGCCACGTGCCTTGTACAAGCGACTGATTCCTGTTTCAAAGGTCATATCAACATTTGTAATTTATTCAGATGTCATCAAATTTGCAGTGTGATATAACGATTGCTACCATGCACTGGAAACAATTACTGACAAAATTTACGTGAATGAATTGTTTCGCAGCCTACACATTTGATAAATGGTTATTTATGTACTCCCATAACACTACGGACCTAACTGTTTCTATGTGTTCATGGTCATCTGTCTTCTTCCAGGTTGGTTCGAGGTTGTCCCAGACGATGGAAGACCAGTTGAGTATTTTGACACAATCAACGGTATCACCAGCGTAAAGCCTCGGCGGTTTCTCGTCCGGACGTCTACCGTGGGCTACCAGCTCAGCATCGAAGACGGTGTCAGTTGCTGGATGCCCTGTGAAATTAAGTCCGGGGAAGTATTAACGACTGGCATGATCTACATGGATAACAAGAAAACCAAGTCCGTTTCGAAGAACATCTTCAAGAAGCTACTAAAATCCCACAAAACCTCCAAGAAGGAGCAGGATATGAAATATCTGCAGTGTTATGACAGTGAAGGTAAAGAGATCATGATACCTCTCATCATGTCCGGAGTGTTCAGTCCAGTAGGGGACGCTACCGTTGCTAACTATGATGCTGTGTATGAGCTTCAGGACTTGATCATGGCGTTTGGCCTGCCCGTCAACGCCCAGATCATATACTCCGGGGCATCCGAGAAGGCTACGTGTCCCAATGGAACAGTCAAGTTTGAGAGCACCCGAGAGGAAGAGTACGCCATTGTTAAAAGGTCCCCTCTGAAGGGGAATCAGAGGGCGAACCTATTCAGGTGGAGCTGCCCATGGATGGGGAGGTGACCTTCTTCAAGGAGGCCAAGAAGAGAGTTGCTAAGAAGGACCCCGATCCAAAGTATCCAGTTCCGAGTGAGGAGAGTAAGGTGGACGTGACGTCAAACATTGAACTTCCTAAACGTGTCGATAAAGAAGCCAAAAAGTCTAAAACATCAGCTCTCCTTGACAAACTTAGTGTCCGAAGAACAAAGAAAGAGCGTGCAAAATTAAAGGCTATGAAAGGTGACGATGTGTTTTCAAGGAGGTTAAGTAAGAACGATGTGAGCTATGAAGAGTTTTTCAATGGACTGAACAGCAAGGAAGAAGATAAGGAAAACAGCGAAAGGAACAAGCAGAAGAGTCCCGATAGTGAAACAACTAAGAATTCGAAAGAGGACACCTATGGCAAAATCCATAAGTCTCACATACAGAACCGAGATCTTCCTCCAATCCCGCCTGATGACAAAGGTCAAGGACATACAGGAGGTCACAGTGATCACAACAAGTCCAAAGATTCCATCTACGAACATCTACCGCCGGCCCCTAAGCCACCGAGCAGGTCGTTCTCCGACCTTACTCGCATGCAAGAGGAAGACGAGGACGATGGCTATATGGTGCCAATGAACTTGAAAGGTGATTTTGATACCGCTTACAGTGAAGGCACTGACGCCATTCTCCGAAGAAAGCCTCCTTCCGTACCACGTGACTCTATGAAGTATGCGCGCACACGGAAAGCCAGAAGTGAAATCCCCTGCCATGGCGAGGAAGACTTTCATGACAACTGCCCTTTCAACATTGATGATCTGTTTAGTTTTGCTTATTCCCAAGAGTCCAAAGAGAAGCCCTATGGCACTATCAGCAGTCGGTATAACGTCAGCACGTCCCAGTTGTATGGGTCGAACAATAAAGCGAAACCACCTCCATGGCGAGCCCACATTCCCAACAGCTATGATCCTCGGTTCTTTGACGACCAGGACATCGATATAAGGCAGAGGACAGTTACTCCTTCAAAATACAAATCAAAATCTCAGCGAAATCTCAACATGGACCCTAACGCTACAATTCGTAGCCATAACCTTCGTAAGATGAGGAATGTGATGGAAGTGTTTCATTTCAGCGACTCATTTAGGGATCTCAGGGGTGGAGAACCTCCTTCTCCAGATCACTACCACCGCCGCCATTTCGAGAACCCGTATGGGATGACCCACGACCCCAGCGCTATCTACTACCCGGGTAGCGGGCATGGGCAGTACATAGAAAACGAGCCTCCTTACAGAAAATACCATCGCTCCGCATCAGTCTCAGGACTTAGCGATCCTTACCTCAAACAAGGTGATGACTCCGCAATATCGATGGGGTCCAGAGGCGACTACGGGTATCCTAATGGCAGCGACTACAGCTACTCTGAGTACGGAGAACCGGAAGATGAGAACTACATCCCTCCGGAAGAGACGGAGCACCTCAGTGTGAAGGAGGTGTCGAAATGTCTCCGTTATATAGGGATGAAGGACCGTGTTGTGTTGAGATTCTCCAACGAGCAGATTGATGGGGAAATGCTTGGGAGACTGGACAAGAAGCTACTGAAGGAAGGTTTCCCCGAACTCAATGCTCTGGAAATTAAGAAAATATTAGACTTTATTGGCGGTTGGAGGCCAAAGAAAGCATGATGGGCCCCCATAATCACACACACAGTTCACGATGGTCACCGAGAAATTCGTGAGCCATTATGACTGTAAAATAGTTTGAGGTTTGAAAGAATGAGGAAATATAAGCACATGTAAGGCTCACGGGTTCCTTTCTTCTTGGCATTCCCCTTCCTTTTCGTGTAAAGAGAAAGGAGTCTTAATTCTCGTTGTCCATGATGTATTAGTGAGTGAAGGTACGGTATGACTGTCTTCGTTGGGTACACGTGTTTGACGTATTACTGCCAAACAATCTTAACAAAAATAGGTGTGGACACGTCTTGGGTACAGAAGGGACAACAGAAGAACCAATGCCATCTGAACCGGAACATAGGTGGAGTGTGACGGTGCACGTGCAGTTTCGTGCATGCATGCAGTGTGCGAAATAGCCACTGGCCCGCTAGCCCGTGGCTAGTAAACATCCAGTCGGGCCAGTGAATTTCCAGTCACTGGCCCGCCTGGCTAGTGAATTTTCATGGGGGCATTTTGTAAATATATCACTTTCTCCGACTTGTTAAGTTATAATGCACTTTTAAATCATGCACGATTATGGCATGATATAAATGTTCATCATATTAGCAGTTTTATGATGAAACCCGCGTCTACATTTGAATTTCGGGCTAGTGAATTATTTTGTGGGCTAGGAACTTTCAGGCATAGCTAGCCCGACTGGATAGAAAATTTGGACACTGCATGCATGTTTTCGTCAACGTTAACTCGACACGACCAAACCGTCCACCCTTGATGCTGATAGACACGGATAATGCAGATCCGGGGTCATTGTGAGGTTGTCAGTTTTCTTATGTTTGTTCAGAAGTACTTGCATGTATTTGTGTATGAATGTCAGTTTCAAGGAAAGCACAACGAAGTGAAGTACACGTGTGGATTGACCTTCAACTGACCACTGACAAGGACGATGTACCACGTGGTCAGTATTCCACGTGGCGTGAGTTTCAAATACAAATAGGCATCTAGGACACATAACTGTGAGAAGGACATAAGCAATACCGTGTGTCCTGTGTAGAAGATCTGCACGGAATGATGCATTTAAGGAAAGGTGTGTTGTTTTGTATACACGCCATATTGTATGGTAAATTATCGTTGGATTATTTCAACAAATGATATAAATAAAGCAGTTAAATGTACAGTATGTAATTGTTACTGATGTTGAAACTTACAAACCATTATGGAAGAAAATATGTTTACTACACTGTAAAATATTGTTAACCCGTGTAAACTATGTATATACATTGTTAATTTATTGACGCAGGGCTATGATGGAGGATCTGTTCAAAATGGCATTTAAGATTTAGATCAGATGGATACTCGTTTTTTAATACATTTATTTTTTAAATCCTTATTTTTGAACCCCATGTTTTAGAATTATCTTCTTATTTGGAAAATAATTGAATAATTGACAAACTGTCAAGATCTCTGACCACCTGTCCGGCAATATATGTCTGTATGAAACCGAGTATTGATATCATGTGCAGTGTTAATAAACATTGTGTCTGTTTAGTTCAGTCTTTTATTGCTGTCTAAAAACTGAAACTCGTAAAATGAGAAGCACGGCGAAAAACGGTGTGGGTGTACTTTTATATCATGTGTCGGTAATACCATAGCTATATCACAGAGGCCTGAGTGAGTGAGTATGGTTTTACGCCGCTTTTAGCAATATTCCAGAAATATCACGTTGGGGACACCAGAAATGGGCTTCACATTGTACCCATGTGGGGAATCGAACCCTGGTCTTCGGCGTGACGAACTGAGGCCTGAGGGAGTGGCCTACCGGTTTATCCCGTATCGCTCGTCCCACAGAACACCCGGTTTGATTCCCCATATGGGTGCAATGTGTGAAGCCCATTTCTGATGTCCCCTCTGTGATATTGCTGGAATATAAGCGGCGTAAGTCTTGACTCAGTCAGGGAGGCCTGAATCTTTCAACTCGACATTTAATCCAGAGCTACGATTGATGCGTCCGGATAATAAAACGCCATCTGTATGGTCACCAACTGCGACCGCCTCATCCAGCGACCATCCGAGTTGCATGGGTATCAAGCACTTTTATATTCAAGTCACAGACCCTTGCTTACAAAGAGCTGACAATGAAAAGGAGGTAAAAGTAGAAGCAGGTGGAGTTGTATTAACTTGTTCCACTTGATGGATGAGCGGTTGTTGTTTTAGCGCAGCACTCCGCAACACTCCAGTCTGATCAGCGGGGGCGCTGGGGTAGTCTAGTGGTTAAAGAGTTGTATTAACTTGTTCCACTTGATGGATGAGCGGTTGTTGTTTTAGCGCAGCACTCCGCAACGCTCCAGTCTGATCAGCAGGGGCGCTGGGGTAGTCTAGTGGTTAAAGAGTTGTATTAACTTGTTCCACTTGATGGATGAGCGGTTGTTGTTTTAGCGCAGCACTCCACAACGCTCCAGTCTGATCAGCAGGGGCGCTGGGGTAGTCTAGTGGTTAAAGAGTTGTATTAACTTGTTCCACTTGATGGATGAGCGGTTGTTGTTTTAGCGCAGCTCTCTGCAACGCTCCAGTCTGATCAGCAGGGGCGCTGGGGTAGTCTAGGGGTTAAAGAGTTGTATTAACTTGTTCCACTTGATGGATGAGCGGTTGTTGTTTTAGCGCAGCACTCCGCAACGCTCCAGTCTGATCAGCAGGGGCGCTGGGGTAGTCTAGTGGTTAAAGAGTTGTATTAACTTGTTCCACTTGATGGATGAGCGGTTGTTGTTTTAGCGCAGCACTCCGCAACACTCCAGTCTGATCAGCAGGGGCGGTGGGGTAGCCTAGTGGTTAAAGTGTTCGCTCGTCACGCCGGAGACCGGGTTCAATTCCCCACATGGGTAAAATGTGTGAAGCCCATTTCTGGTGTCCCCCACCGTAATATTGCTGGAATATTGCTAAAAGTGGCGTAAATCCATACTCGCTCACTTTCTGATCAGCAGTATGAGTGAGTGAGTTTAGTTTTACGCCGCACTCAGCAATATTCCAGCTATATAGCGGCGGTCTGTAAATAATCTAGCCTGGACCAGACAATCCAGTGATCAACAGCATGAGCATGATCAGCAGTCTGTAAATTTTGGGATCTGGATCAGACATTCCAGTGATTGACGTGCACCGAGGTGCAAAGTTGGGATACGGTGATGTCCATGAACCTCGATCCCGTTTATCTTCTTTGACGACCAGTTATAGTCCCGATGTTTATGGTGTTGCGGGGACGTGAAGTGAATAAACAGTGGTGTTGCAGTCATTTAACGGTGGGATGCACTAGAAAAGGATCAATGTGACGCTCTGCACTGTGAGTTAAAACGATGTAACTGTCGAGGCAACCTGCATTTGTTTCATCGCGTATGTCTCTTGGCCCATTTTGTCGATCCATCAAATAGGGGTATTATGTTACCAAAGTACAGCAAGGCCAGTTCCGGGATCTTGATAAGATTAGGCTGGTTGGTTTTTTAACCCCGCACTCAGCAATATTCCAGCTATATGTCGGCGGTCTGTTAATAATCTAGCCTGGATCAGACAATCCAATGATCAACAGCATGAGCATCGATCTACGCAATTGGGATACGATGACATGAGTCAACCAAGTCAGCGAGCCTGATCACCCGATCACCCGATCACCTGATCACTCTTACAAGCATATGGGTCTAGATTACAATTCCCATTCGCACTCCTAACGCTCCTTAGCCTCGCCCCCTCTATCTTCAGAACATATTTTTATGTACAACAAGATGCTGTTTTTAAATTTCCTGCAAAAGTACGAATAAAGGGATAAAAAATATATTCTTTTTATTCAAACATCATCATCGTCACAAGATGCTTTCTTTAATTTGCTGCAAAAATACTAATACAAGGATAAGAATATCCTATTTTCATTCAAACGTCATCCTCATCAACGTCGTCGTTTCTTTTGTACGTAATCATCTTCACGTGTGATTAACAAGTGAATTCCCACCATCATCGTTTCTTTAGTATAACTTCCATCACAGAGGTTAAAAATACATACCCTTTGCTCAAAGGATTAGACATCAACCACCCTGTACATTAGCTGATCGATACGAAAGGTCCGAAGTAAATGACCGTTAACACATTGATTAATCTATCGGACACGATCAGCTTGACGCCCTTTCAGAATTACCCTCCATGAAATAACTCAGGGAATAGGGCGGAATAGCTACCATGCTGTGCCGGGTACTTTGATGTAATGTGTTTGAAAGACGGTGATCGTTCCCCTGATCAGATGTATTGAACTGTCGACACAAGTTGCTGATCATTGAGGGCGTTGAACTGTAATCAGTGATTCCTCAAAGTTCAGTGTTGCTTCTGTTGTTATGCCAGAACTGACGCCACTGTGTTCACGTCGTTGGGCACCAAAGGAACTGTGGGGACCTTGACAGTTTTAGAGATTGGTTGATGAAGGCAAATTCAAGTCTACCGTAGTTAGGATCTGGTTCTGGCAACGCTGAAATAAAACGGTGTAAGGAGTAGCAACAATTTTAGGACCAAAGTAGTAGCAGCACCAAATTTAGGAACGCTCTAGTAATAGCAACAAATATGGGAAAACTGTAGTAGCAGCAACAAATGTATTAGCACTGTAGTAGCAGCAACAAATGTAAGGACACTGTAATAGCAGCAACAAATGTAGGAACACTGTAGTAGCAGTAACAAATGTAGGAACACTGTAGTAGCAGCAACAAATGTAAGGAACACTGTAGTAGCAGCAACAAATGTAGGAACACTGTAGTAGCAGCAACAAATGTAGGAACACTGTAGTAGCAGCAACAAATGTAGGAACACTGTAGTAGCAGCAACAAATGTAGGAACACTGTAGTAGCAGCAACAAATGTAGGAACACTGTAGTAGCAGCAACAAAAAGTAACTGTATGGGGAGTAGCAGCAACAAATGCAGGAACACTGTAGCAGCAGCAACAAATGTAGGAACACTGTAGTAGCTTAACAAATGTAGGAACACTTTGTAGTAGCAGCAACAAATGTAGGAACACTGTAGTAGCAGCAACAAATGTAGGAACACTGTAGTAGCAGCAACAAATGTAGGAACACTGTAGTAGCAGCAACAAATGTAGGAACACTGTAGTAGCAGCAACAAAAGCAGGAACACTGTAGTAGCAGCAACAAATGTAGGAACACTGTAGTAGCAACAAATGTAGGAACACTGTAGTAGCAGCAACAAATGTAGGAACACTGTAGTAGCAGCAACAAATGTAGGAACACTGTAGTAGCAGCAACAAATGTAGGAACACTGTAGTAGCAGCAACAAATGTAGGAACACTGTAGTAGCAGCAACAAATGTAGGAACACTGTAGTAGCAGCAACAAATGTAGGAACACTGTAGTAGCAGCAACAAATGTAGGAACACTGTAGTAGCAGCAACAAATGTAGGAACACTGTAGTAGCAGCAACAAATGTAGGAACACTGTAGTAGCAGCAACAAATGTAGGAACACTGTAGTAGCAGCAACAAATGTAGGAACACTGTAGTAGCAGCAACAAATGTAGGAACACTGTAGTAGCAGCAACAAATGTAGGAACACTGTAGTAGCAGCAACAAATGTAGGAACACTGTAGTAGCAGCAACAAATGTAGGAACACTGTAGTAGCAGTAACAAATGTAGTGTAGTAGCAGCAACAAATGTAGGAACACTGTAGTAGCAGCAACAAATGTAGGAACACTGTAGTAGCAGCAACAAATGTAGGAACACTGTAGTAGCAGCAACAAAAGCAGGAACACTGTAGTAGCAGCAACAAATGTAGGAACACTGTAGTAGCAGTAACAAATGTAGGAACACTGTAGTAGCAGCAACAAATGTAGGAACACTGTAGTAGCAGCAACAAAAGCAGGAACACTGTAGTAGCAACAACAAATGTAGGAACACTGTAGTAGCAGTAACAAATGTAGCAGTAGCAGCAGCAACAAATGTAGGAACACTGTAGTAGCAGCAACAAATGTAGGAACACTGTAGTAGCAGCAACAAATGTAGGAACACTGTAGTAGCAGTAACAAATGTAGGAACACTGTAGTAGCAGCAACAAATGTAGGAACACTGTAGTAGCAGCAACAAATCATAGGAACACTGTAGTGTAAGCAGCATCAAATGTACAGGAACACTGTAGTAGCAGCAACAAATAGGAACACTGTAGTAGCAGCAACAAATGTAGGAACACTGTAGTAGCAGCAACAAATGTATTAACACTGTAGTAGCAGCATCAAATGTAGGAACACTGTAGTAGCAGCAACAAATATAGGAACACTGTAGTAGCAGCAACAAATGTAGGAACACTGTAGTAGCAGCAACAAATGTAGGAACACTGTAGTAGCAGCAACAAATGTAGGAACACTGTAGTAGCAGCATCAAATGTAACTGAACACTGTAGCAGCAACAAATGTAGGAACACTGTAGTAGCAGCAACAAATGTAGGAACACTGTAGTAGCAGCAACAAATGTAGGAACACTGTAGTAGCAGCAACAAATGTAGGAACACTGTAGTAGCAGT